ATACACAGCAATGTCAGGATTAGACCATTGCGGGTTATGTGACTACCCGAGTTTTTGTGCATTGTCCTGTTGCGAAACCCTCTATCGTACTGAAGCACGTCGTACGTAGGGGAACCCCAGCAAAGGGGGGGGGTCGACCTTGGTCGCTGGAGGGAGAGGGTCGTATTTGCCTATGAGAAAATGTTCTCGGTTGTTGACTTTTTTCAGTTTTTCCGGTTTTGACTATGCTATTGCACTATGTACCTTTCTCCCTCACGATGGCAGCTTTTTGAGGAACAGTGAAGGAATTTTCGGGAAAAACTCCGCGAAAATGGTAGGAACTTGGTGATACTCAGGAAGATGGTAGGCTGAATGGGTGAGCCTTACCAGAGGATGAAGAAATTTTAAGGGGGTAGTTTAGACCATTGCGGGTTATGCGGGTTTTTCCCCAACGGCAGCGCGTGCCCTGTTTCGCATACAGATAAAGGACAGCTGCTGCCAGAGCATTTAGAGGTGCAAAAAAAACATGTGGCTAATCAAGGAATCGGTCTTTTCAGGGAGAAGGGATTTCGAGGTGGTGTGCCACCGTTCGTGAAAAGCTGGAATGTGTGAAGTGGGGCGTTCCCTTGTATAATGGTCACCGCAGCGCCCTCGTCATTCACGAAATCGAGGCAACCTCTGAGATTATTCACTGGACTAACTGAGCAAGGAACAGACTGTAACACTGGGTAATCGCGGAATTTGCCTTTCTAGTGCAGAATGACTTCTCCTTCTCCTAAGCTTACAGTCTGTTCTCCTAATCAGGAAAGATGGTTCGTCGAAATGGCCGCCTGAAACGAGATGTTACCCACTGGTGCGATTTCAAACCTGCCTCCTGAATCTGCTATACGATTCTCTGAGCAGAGTTATGCAGGCTTTGTACGGAGCCCAGTTAAGTTCAGAATGCAAAGCTAGTCGTGAATCTGCAACGGGTATGCCTCGGTAGGCCAAATCTATAGACTTCTTAAGAGTCTATACTCCAATCTGGGACAGATTAATAGTTTCGGAAAAGAGTGTTATGTTGGTGTCGAGGGCAGTCGCTAGTGAGATTAGTGCCGGTGCTCGTTCCTTGTCTGTATTGTGGTTCTCGTGTTGGGTTTTTGGTGGCCTGAATAACAACCGGTGAGGCGAACACCGGCGCTTAAACAGACAACTGGTAAGGATCTAAGAACTAGCTCCTTGGCCCATTAGGCTGCCCTGCTGAGAATTCGTTTGAATCGAATCAGGCATGGTGTGCTCACCGTGAACGGTGATCATATGCTTTGGTCCCACTCTAATGGTAAGGAGAAAGCGAAATCATGACGGGAGGTATGGGAGGGGGGGTGGGGGGATCTGCGCGCGCTGACTTCACACGCAACTTCCAGAAAGACCGATCAATCGTATTCTATCCATTAATCTTTTTGTGGCAGTTTGAGTTTCCCTATTTCCCCTACCTATTTTCTCAATTTTTAAGAAGTTTGCCGGTTTTTTAAAGAACTGAACGAAGGTTGGCGCACAAAGAAGAAAAACAAGCAACAATCAACAGCCGGAGAGAATTCTCGCATCTGGGAAAGAAATTTTCTCGAAGTCAGATAGGGTCCCTCCCCCAGCGACCAAGAAGAATCACCTTCCCCCCCCCCTCCCTCACTAGTGGGATCCTCCCAACGGTTCTGTAGGCTGAGCACACAGGAATAATTCTGCTGAGCACACAGGAAATAATTCTATCTTTACCATGTGTCAGCTCTACTTTTGAGTAATATTGCCAATTTCCAGCCAGTGAATACTCTTGCGCTAATTCTGCTTTGATTCAACTCCAAGCGAATGGGGATTTGGACAGGAAAAGGACAAGTCAGACAGCAGCAAATCGAAATCGTCGAAAGAAACGATTCCAGAAGGAGACTATGAAAAAGGGAAAAAGGCGAGTTTCATTATATTTTGCATTTATTACTATTCGCTTAATTTATTCCATTGTAGGTGATATAGTTTGATGTCACTTTCACTGATTTTCAACAGTTAATCTAATAAAAGATGTTTTATGCAGTTTAAGGTGGAGGGAGGGGGGAGGAGGGTGGTGGTGCGAAGTCGAAGAGACAGTATGGTTTCCTCCCCATGGGATCATAGCCAAACAGTGTTAAAAAATTATTGCTAGGTTATCACAGGAATGCTGTATTATGAGAAGAAGTCTGGCCCCAGGCGGGACTCGAACCCGCACCTCATGCCTTTCGGGCTGTGACAAATAGTCATTATTGCTAGGCTTTTATAGCTCTACAAGTACCGATGTGCCCAGTGCCATGCAATCAATTCCACCAAAAGTATGGCTGGACCAACTCTGCACGGAATATTTGGACGTATGTCTGGCACCGCACCTGGCTACGTTTATTCAGAATCAAATAGGAAGACGGTTGGTTTTTACCTTCATTTACAAAGGGAGGGGTTTGGTTTGGCTGCGTTCATACTTTGCGGCAGCGTTCACCAACGTCCAACAGCGACCATCAGCGTTTCAAGCGTCCGTCAGCGTCTAGGAAAGTATAGATATCGATCTAGCGAATGGAAGCGTCTACCAGCGTTTGCCAGCGACATCAGCGTCTCGAGGGACTAGGAAAGCATGGATATTGATCTAGCGTCTGTCAGCGTCCACCAGTGACCAGGAGTAGAGAGTATGGGGAAGTAGGAGGGTAGCAGACAGCTGGATTAGGCGTCGTGAAATTGCGGCGTGTGCAACCGCACCGTAGTACTACACAGCACTCTATTCCTGCACGCTGACGGACGCTGGTGGACGCTGATAGACGCTGGTAGACGCTGCCGTTCGCTAGATCGATATCTATACTTCCTAGTCGCTGACGCTGACGGACGCTCGAAACGCTGATGGTCGCTGGTGGATGCTGCCGCAAAGTATGAACGCAGCCTTAGTTTGCAACGACGTTATGTACGGCGGGGGATCGGGCTGGCAGCAAGGATGGGCACGCCCGTCTTGTGCTCGTCTGCACCCTCTCACCGACGTGGTGTTCGTTCAGTTGGGTTGATGCCGCAATGCTTGATTAATATTGTTCCCTTTCACTGCAAAATCGGACCCTACAATACCCAAAAAAGGTTTTCCCGAATATAATCTACTTTTCAGGGCGTGGTGTGGACCAGAGAAACGTTGTTCGACTACCTGGAAAACCCAAGAAAATACATTCCAGACAAGATTGCTTCCTTTGTAGGGATACAAGAAACCAGAAGAACGTGCGTGACCATCATCAATATACATGGAGGCTTGAAGTCCGCTAAACCAGCGACACCTTAGATGTTAGAGTTAATTTTATGTAGTAGTAATGAGCTTGTTTTTGTATAAAGACAAAATAAAGGTTTCTAAAAAATTCAAAAGATGTCTGGAAAACACTCTGATGCTCTAACCATAAGTTGTAAGGTGGGGAGGCCGCGCATACAATAAGAGGCGCTGTTCGGCCTAAAGGGGTACTTTGTACGCTAGTACCCTTTTAGTACAAGTAACACCTCTGAAGTTTTGGAAAGCGGCAAAACGGGGTGAAAGCGAGCCACCCGAATAACATGGATTAACAGGACTCCAAAAGGTGTCCCATCGAATACCCTTTTGCGCCCCCACCAAGCCGATTTTGACGCGCAATATGCACATGCAAAGTCAAAATGGTGATTATAAGGTTGGGAATTCTTTCCTTCAAGAGTACGGTTTACTCTGGTTCGACCGCAGAAAGCCGTGCCGGGGTCTGCCATCAAAACGCGCGCATGGCGAACGCCGAGCGGGTTCGAATCTGTTTCTTCGGCGGATAGCACCATGTGAGCAGGTTTTGAAGGCTCGCTCCAAAAATATGGCTGGGTTGTGCGCGCTCCGAAATACTAATAACGGATGGTAGATGTAACACGGTGGAGCAGTAAAAGCAGAAAGGAGCTATGTGTGGCCTGCGCTGACTTGCGCGCTCTTGTACGTGCCTAGGGCGGAGAAGGGGCGTAGTCGGACGAGTTTTCACTCGTTGGTGCCTGCTCTTACTCCTTTCCATCTCACTCTTACCATTCGAATTGAAGAGAGCTACTAGCGGAACGATTGCATCACAAAGACGCACCTTCAGAAACGCAAGTTGGCGCGTTTGCGCTGGCCACATGGGCGGGGCGGTTGGCTCGTTGCATCGCGCTTTTTTCGAATACTATCTCCTTGCGGACAGTACTCCGATTCCTGAAGGAGTATGAACATCGAATAAACGCGCGACGTGTCTTCAAATAAATTGGGTCATGGTGCGAATCCCGCGCACGCGACGACATTTGCAATACCTCTATCACCGCCTTCGCCGGAGCATGAGCGTAAGATCTCGAATTCAAGTGTGAGCCCAAATCGAATCCGAGCGCAAAAGTCCAACGCTAAAGGAGCGACCAGGACTGGAAACCAGGCAAATTCCTCATCAGGCACCTACCGATTCATTATGGTGATATCACAGGCACCTACCGACCGGCACCTGTGATATCACCATAATGATACAGAATGATATCGTGATGTCTATATAAACCTGATACTACCGAGTTTGAAGTCAGTTTTATTCGTCTAATTCAATGGGTAAGGGGTCCGACTCGGGGAGCGGTGGGATTCCAGAAGGCGACTATGAAAAAGGAAAAAAGGTTAGTTCCCTTTTCGCTTCAGAACACCATGCCAAGTGCCATTCAAGCCACTGTTCAGGTTTTCAAGCAACGATGTTCACAATGTCATGTTATCGACTCGATGGCGTCCAAGACAGGTCCCACTTTGAATGGTTTGATTGGCCGCAAGTCCGGGGAAGTACCCGGCTTCACCTACTCGGACGCTAACAAGAATAAGGTGAGGATTCACTTTGAAACATGACCAAGCTAATGAAAAGAGAGGGTCAAAGGCAGTTGAGGGGATGGGGCGGGGGGGGGGGAGCGGTACTCACGCGATGGCAGACCATACCAAGTCATACCTGCTCGTCATGCCACGTCTTTTCGAAACCATAGGTTGCGTCTAGACTTTGCGATGACGCGTGACAAAGCGCCAAAGCGCTACGACCAGCTATGACGCACGTCGGCGCGTGTCGTCGCAAAGTCTGGACGATTCCCCAAACTAAAACCACCCTATTTGTGCATGGGGTAAGAGAGCACAGACAAACGGGCACGGCGCGACATATTAACGCCGCCGCGTGCCCCTCTACCCCCCCCCCACTGCCTGTTCGAAAAACTGATATTGCTAAGAAAAGTCTCTATTCAAGGGAGTGGTGTGGACACGAGAAACGTTGTTCGACTATCTAGCTGATCCGAAGAAGTACATTCCGGGCACAAAGATGGTCTTTGCCGGCATTAAGAAACCCGGTGAACGTGCCGATCTCATCAAGTATATCGAAGTGGAAGGTGCTAAGAAGCCATCTTAAATTTTAATGACAATAAAGCTACACAATTTCACAGCATTTTTGGCTATGCTTGTAAGAATTCGTGCAGAGATTGGCACGGACCTGTCA